GAGGGCCGGGTGCTGGACAGTCGGTGCACGTCAAGGGGAGGACAGGGTGCTGGACAGTCAGTGCGCGTCCAGGGGAGGGCAGGGTGCTGGACAGTCGGTGCACGTCCAGGGGAGGGCAGGGTGCTGGACAGTCGGTGCACGTCCAGGGGAGGGCAGGGTGCTGGACAGTCAGTGCACGTCCAGAGGCACAGAAAGCACAACGGTGGTTTGGGCTGAGTGTTCTGGTCAGCCCCTGCAGCTCTGCTCCACGTGGTAGTCAGAAACCCTGCTTTTCTGCCTGTCTCGGGGGTGAGGTTCTAACCCAGCGGTGAATATTCCCGGCAGGGGACATCGGCAACATCTGGAGCCACATTTTGGTTGTCAGGACATGGGGTGCGACGGGGTGCAGGTGTGACACTGGCATCGAGTGGGTAGAAAGTGGGCTGCTGGATGTCCTGTGTCCAGGGCAGCCCCCATGACCAGGAACTGGCCCACCCCAACCTCAGCAGTGGAGAAGCCCCAGCTCAGGCCCGCAGTCTGAGGCGGTCTCAAGCCCAGCCAGGTCCCAGTGCGGGGGCAGGGGCTGTGTGCACGGGCAGACCCAGATCCAGACTCCGGTCCACTGAGGAGAGCCCAGTCACATGGCAAACCCTCCTGCAAGGAGCTGGTGCCAGAAAATGTGTCGAGGTGTGTGCCCAGGAGGAAGGCGGTGGCAGGTTTTGGTGGCCAGCTGGCATCTCCACCATAGGCAGCCTACCTGATACAGGAGACCGGCGGTGGTGGACAGGAAACCTGGAGGGTGTTTCCAGGACAGGGACTGGAGCTTGTGTAGAGACGTAGAGGCAGGAGCGAGCAGGCAGAGGGGGGCGGCGTGGAGGGTTCTGCTTGGAGTCCGCCAGAGGGAGGCATGGAGGCCAGGGTGCCAGGTGCCCAGCAGCCAGCTCACAGGAGCCCAAAGGCCTGACTGAGGAGTCTGGATGGGGCCCCGAGGCAGGGAAGGTGGTGTCATCCTCCAGACTTTCTGCTCAGGCTCTTTCCTCCCTGAGGCTGGGTCCCGGGTCCCGGTCCCAGGTCCTGGTGCTGATACACCGCTTGCCCTCAGGCTGTCTCTGTGAGCTCCTTCTTTGCCCAGATAACTGACAGGTGCCAGCTGGGACCACAGCCTGGTCCTCAGAGCCCCGGTCTCCTGGTTACTGTGGACCACAGCCACCGTCACCATGCACACCCCTCATGTGTCCGTCAGTTACTAAGCAGGTGCCCCAGCCCCCAGCACCACTCCACAGCTGGCTCCGGGGCTTCCCGAACATGGTCTTCCACATTCCTGGGGCCCGGCTCTTCCACGTTCCCCACTGCCCGTTCAGCATCCTCACACCGACATCTGCCGAAACCCAGCTTGGTTCTCTGAGGACGGCTGATCCCCAGACCTTGACCCCAGCTAGAAGCCAGTCTTCATACCCAGGAGTGAGTGCTGGCAGGCAGGAGTGCGTGGGCAGGGCCCAAAAAACTGGCCATAGCTTGGGCCAGGGTGAGTGGAGAGGCCGGCAACGGCATGTTGTCCAGAATGAGCACATGGCCCTGGCTCCGTCACTGCCCTGCCCAGGCCTCGGTTCTCACTGTGCATGGGGAATTCGGACCTCACAGGGGTGTTCCCTCACTGGGGGTGTGGGAGGAAGGCTGCCACTGCTTCTCAGTCTCAGGTGTAGACCGACTTCTGGGAGGGAGATCCATCCGACTGTCAGGCTGGCTCCAGCTCCACTCGCCAACAGAGGAAACGATGCTTGTACTGCACTTGAGGAGGGGTGTCCTGGCTCCCACGCCTCCTGAGCGCGCCTCCGCTGTGGCTGCCAAGTGTCCCAGAAGGCTGGTAGAGGGGTTGGCAGGGGCGAACAGACATCCTTAGCCTAGGGGTCCTCAAGCCTCACCGCACATGAGACTCACCGGAGGAACGCCAGATGGACCTAGATAGGCCCAGCCAGCCAGCAGGTGTGGGGGTTAGACTCATCTCATCCCACATGGCTGACTGTGCAGTTCCAGTCCCAGACCCAGAGGACTGGGAAGTACCCTGGACTCACGTGTGAACGTACCCAAAACCCCAAAAGGAGAATGGATTGTGAGGCCATCCCCCTTAGGGGGCACTTTCTTAACACCCTCCACCCCACCCCAGCGAGTTTGCACACCCTGTAGAAAAACTATTTTTTTTGGAGAGGATTTTCTATAGGGTGCGTGCGCTTGTCAGAAAGACAGCAAGAGACAGAAAGCGAGAAATCCACCCCCCTAGGGGGGATGGTCACGCCGCTATCCCTTCTCCCCATTCTCCTCTCAGGATCTTGGGCACACACACACACACACACACACACACACACACACACACGCCCTGCGTGAATTTAAGCCACTAAGTCTCAAACTGTGCTCCAATACAGGAGAGTCCAGCGATGTAGCCATTACGCCATCTGGTGGTCCCTAGCAGAACCATAAAAAAAATGACAACAAAAAAACCCCTCTGTCAAGGACCACCTAAGCCACTAAAATCAGAACCTGGCTGGGGGTGGGGCGGACAGGCACAGGGTAAGGAAACTGGGCCCACACTAAAGGTCCTGAGTTCGGATCCTGAGGCCTCCCTGTACACTGCGGAGGACCCACCTGGCTGAGGCTGGGGTAGGTTGGAGGTGAGGATCCTACTAGGTGTTCCTGTCGTTCTCACTCCCCACACTTTTAAAACAATCGGAACCTCCGGAGAAGGAAGCAGGCACAGGTACTTGCAGCCCCACCCCAGCAGATGCCCGCGGGAAGCCAGGCTCTTCAGCACCAGCTGGGTAGGAACGAGTCCAGCGCGAGAGATGAGTTCTCGGCCCAGAAACTGCCTCCTGCGGCTGGGGTGCCCCGGGGCTTCTGCGGCCGCCCACCGCCTAGCCCTGCTCCAGCCGCAGGAGCCCCCACCCCCGCCACAGCGCAGTTCCCTGGGACTCCCGCCGCAGCCGGCCACCTGGCCTCAGGAGCTCGGGCGCCCCTGGCCGCAGCGCAACGCGGGGCTATGCAGGGCCTTCCACATGAGCAGCAGCTCGTAGGGCGCGAAGCGGTGCACCAGCAGCAGCTCGCGGTAAATGCAGGGGTCGAAGGAGGGGTGCTGGGCGCCGGGCAGCTGCACACCAAACGGCCGGATGCCCTGGTGCCCGCTGGGCGCCAGGCCAGCGCGCTGCAGACACATGCCCATGTAGGCGTCGTCGATGGGGAAGAGTTTTTTTTTGGCCGCGTGCAGGGCCCGGACAGTGTGGCGCGACAGGAGGAAGCCGCCGCCGCTGCAATACACCGGGTAGGCCGGGCCTGGGAAGAGCTGCGGCGGCACGAAGTACTTGCTCCTGCTGTCGCGGATGGGCACCGAGCCGTCCATGAGCTGCCCGGTGAAGAGGTGGCGGTCGGGCGGCTGCGCCTCCAGGAAGCGGATGATGTTGGCGGTGTGCACGAA